ATATATATATATATATATATATATATATATATATCCATTAGTTTTAAACATCTGTTGTAAACTCAAAATAAACACTTTTTTTCTTATACAATAATCTAGATGACTGTTACCAGTTCTTTTTGTTAGATTTTCTCACTGGATCTACGAATTACTAAAAGTTATTACTGAAATTGAACTATGTCAGTGATGGTGAACTATTGGCACGCAGAGTCCTCTCTGCGGGCATGCAAGCCATCGGCCCAGGTCAGCTCCACCGCACATGCGCGCTTGCCTCCCACTGGCCAGCTGATTTTTGGTCTCTTCTGCACATGGGTGAGGGGTGCGGCGCATGTGGGAGGCACTCATACATGTGGGGGGCAGGGGGATCACACGTGCATGTGCAGGGGTGGGGAGAGCATGGGGTGATGGGCACTCCTCCCTGTGGCCTGCTTTTGGTCCCAGGAGGCTGCAGGCAGGCCTGCTAGGTCCAAAACAGAACACAGGCGGTTCGCACATGTATGTGGGGGGGGGGGAGCCGGAGGCATTGCGTGCACATTGCATTATGTGTATGAGCATGCAAGCATGCACGATGTTGCAGAGGTGCACTTTTGGCACTCAATGACAAAAAGGTTAGCCATCACTGACCTATGCTTTAGTATGCTGTTTTGTTTTTGTTCTAAATTCAGTATAACACTAAAGCTCAGAACATATTACAAAAAAGGGGGCACAAAACCAAAAGGTGACCAGAGAGTTACTAGTTGGTAGCAAATAAATTTTGGGGTGATTAATCTAGATTTTTGCCACTATGATATGGTAGCCGTAAAAAGAATTAGTAGGTAATTAATTGAACAATACATTTTTACAAAAAGCACTTCATAAAAGTTTAATGTTAGTGTGCTATGGGGAGAAAGGAAGTTTCAAAAGAAACACTTTTTCGCAAGGTCCTGAAGACTTGGTTTTGCCAATGGACCTTGGGAACCCAGAGTGGAATGGAGCCCAAGAAGTAGCTTATTTGCTTCCTTGTTGTCGCTGTGAGGTGGGCAGTTATTGCTTTAACTCTTTTTATATTGGGGTTTTTTTGTAAGCCGCCTGCGTACAGTCACTGAAACTTGAGTGGTTGGCCATACAAATTTAATCAATCAATCAATCAATCAATCAAACAAACAAACAAACAAACAAACAAACAAATATGACGAGAACCATTTTAACGTGCCTCTTAAAGAGAACTCTTTATTTAAATAAATGTTTTGAATGCATTACCTGTTTTAGATATAGTTATGGAGAAATGTTATTCAAACTTTTGCTACAAATTTTGAATATATAACTTAGTTAATACTTTACAAATAATAACAGCGCCAGTTTCCCCCAGTCGAACTGGAATTCAGGAGACATAAAAGACTGGTCAAAAAGAAAAAAAAAATACCATGGAGGAATGATAATGAAATAGAATTACATGAAACTACTCTTATCCTCAACCAAAATATTGCCTTCAAGAATTATATTTTTATTTGTTTTCTCATACCTGAAGACCAACACGAATTCTCTTAGTTAATGCTCCCTCTGGAAAGACTGCTTGCACTTGTGGTACTACAGTGCTGCTTAGCACACCACCCTCAGGTCCAATGAGATTACTGTCTTGTTTAATCCGAGATACCACTGCAAAGTACTGTGGGAAGTCTCGGGTGATAATACGGCAAATACGCTTCTTCTCTAGCTCTTCTGGGGTGTCAAGCACTGGGTGAAAAGAGCAAACATTATTTCAATAGTAAACACTGGAATTGTTAAAAGAAACATTTACATACATACCCTTAATGCAAGGGTGGGGAACAATGGTCCTTTTATGACTTTTGGACTTCAAGTCCCAGAATTCCTGAGCCAGCCAAGTCCACATGTCATAATGGGGCCATCATTTCCCACCCCTGTGTTAATACATGGACCTCTTAATGCTTCAAAAATTATTTTAAAATGAGTGAAACCTCCTTAGGTTAACTTAATTTCTGTTCAAGCTTCTATGACACCCTAAAAAAGTTATAGCTACTTGAAAGTACCTCATTAAAAGTAACACCATCTTAGAACAGCCTTTTTTTCAGGATCACACAGAAGCTAGACAAATATGTTCATTATAATAAACATCAGATAAATGCTGTGTTCTTCTGAGATCAAACTGCCTCTTCAAGATAATTTTCAAAGCTTGCACAGTCCTAATATACATTTACACACCTTTTTGCTAATTGTGCTTCTAATCCTAAAAGATGGGGTCAGAATAAGTGTCTTAAAATTTGCTCTGAATAGATTCAGGTTTTGAATTTCACAGCAACAGAACAATTCATTAATTGCTGCTTGCACACAGTTACAACAGTTGCATTTACAAGCTGATTATGGATGATATATATTAAAAATCATATTGGGTCTATTATTGAGTCTGTGCTGATGCATACCAAGCACCACATAATGAGCAGCAAAACCATCTCAAACTAACAAGAAGAATTAATCCAGTTGAATGACTCAACCTTCAAATAATTCTACCTGGATTACTGATAATCTTTATCGATACTATGTAATATGTTTAAAGGAGCTTGGTATAGTATACAATGTGAATTTCATCACAGATTTCATGTTTGCTTTCTTACATTGTTTTAACTAGTGCAAATTTTATCAAAATAGTTTTATATAAAATACTAGTTGAAATATGTTAACTAAACTATCCATAGTGCACAATCTCTGTTACTCCTAAATTCCAGTTTATAATGGATAAACGTTCCAAGTTCCATGCTCCATTTACAGACAATTAGACTTCAGCACTCTGCATATGGCTGACTTCATAAAGCAAACAGGAACAGATCTTGTGAGTACTAAAATTGGAGACTACTAGGGTATCCCCAGACTAGGAAATCAAAATCGTCCCCAAGAAGTAAGATTATGTAGTGTAGAAAACTACATTTATATGCATTTACAAGTCACTAGACAACCTGTGCCCCATTGGGTCATTGCTTCAGAGATATTTCCTCTTCAGATTCTCAATGCACTCAACAATGGCAGAGCTTCTAAGGTATTTGAAAAATTCTTGAAAATTTAGTAAGATATTCAGAGGTGTACCTTCCGATGTTGAACATAAATGCTTTATATGATTTTTATTTATAAAATTTGCCAAATTTCAATTTCACAGGAGTCCTGAATCCCAGAATTTGGATTCATTCTTTAAGTTAGCTCATTAGAGACAATTCGTTTGAAAAAGTTTTGCTCCATGATGCTCCGTTTCATCCAATTAAAAGTAAAAGACACGAGAGTTTTAGTAGATAAGAACTTCATTATTAGAATTAGTTTTATATCGCATCTTGCTCTCTTTCTGAAAATCTGTTAACTTTCTATTATATAATTATTCTCATTATTTTAAGTGTATAAGTAATTTACAGTAACTATATGGCAAATTAGAATTGTTATTCCTTCCAGCTGGGATTGCTACTTTGATATCTTTTTACTGTAGCTTTAAGATCTTGTTTATAAAGACATGTACCTTCATCCATTCCATTTAGTATTTCATTCAACTCATCTTCCGTAAATTCACAGAAATGCTCTTTCCAGTTGTCCCCATTCTCACTGCGCAAAATCACCAGCTCTCTTTCTTTACCACGTAATGCCGCAAAGTGAGGGATTTCAACAATCACAGGCCTATTACAGCAACACATCACGTTAAAAGATTGTGACAATAGAGAAACAAACAGATAAGTTTTGTTTAAAGCCTGTAACAAAAAGACCTGGAACTCTGCCAGCTTCGTTATTTCTTGCTAGGATTGGGGGGGGGGGGGCGAAGCATACTACAGTAATAATATCTTCATACTGTAGCTAAAGATTATGATCAGTGAGTGTCTAGTTTTATTCTATATAAATAGGACCTTGCCAAAGACACAGATATGAATATATTTTTTGTTTTTAAACACTGATAAAATCCATGGAATTGAAAGTTATTTTGAAGTATAGAATTGTATAGAGGAATCCTTATAAAGATTGTACTGTGTGTGTAAATGTTAAAGAAAAAGTATGTTTTATAATACAGGTAGTCCTCAACTTATGACCAAAATTGAGCTCAAAATTTCTGTTGTTAAAGCAAAACAATTGTTAAGTGAATTTTGCTCCATTTTATAGCCTTTCTTGTCACAGTTGTTAAATTAGTAACAGGGCTGTTAAAAGTATCTGGCTTCCCCATTGACTTTACTTGTCAGAAGGTCGCAAAGGATAATCACACGACCCCCCAGGACACAGCAACCATCATAAATATGAGCTAGTTGCCAAGCATCTAAATTTTGATTATGTGACCTTGGGGATGCTGTAACTGTCATAAGTGTGACCATTTTTTTTCACTGCTGTTTAACTTCAAATGGTCACTATATAAATGGATGTAAGACGAGGACTACCTTTAGAGGATTAAAAAAACACTTTAAGTAACAAGATATTTTTGTGCTTCATTTACACTGATTTTAATCGGCTCTTTATTTTAACTGACATTTTCAAAACTTTTTTTTAATATGGTGAATATATTGAAATAATTCATTTCAGATTATTTTATAAATGCAAAGATTTAATCATGTTTATCTCTAATTCACTGTCTTAAAACATGCTTTCTACTTTTGTAAACTCTGTAAATACATCTTTATATTAATAATTTCACAAGAAGAACTGAATTGTGTACAGCCGTACTTATTGATCATGCTAAATGTTATGTTATATCCAGTATATCATACATGTATCTATTTTGCTACCATAGTCCCCAGTATGATACACATACATGTATCATACTGGGGACTATGGTAGCAAAATAATAATAGTAATAATCCAACAGATTCCTTTGCTTTCAGTCCAGGTTGCTTTGCTACAGACATCAAGCACATAACAGCAGAAGTGACTGGTACATTCTATAACTAATATTTTCTCATGCTAAATCAAAGGTGAGGTCAAGGAACTTTAAGAAAAAGTAGAAACATATCACCAAAACAACAACCACATATCACAAGGGCTAGAAATGATCCACTAAAGGTTAGGAATACATACTATAAAATCATAGAAAGGACAATGTCATGGGCACAATGACATAAAAAATAATATTGCAGAAGGAGAAGAATGGGAAGGCCGGCATCCATCAATTTGTTTTAAATCTCTCCTACCCAAGAAATTTGGTCCCTGGAGGCCCCAGCTGTAGGATTCGGCTGACCAAACTTTCTCCCTCATTAAGTGGGGGAGGAGCCGTAGGCAGGTGAAGTTTACTGAGTACATCCAAAGCAGCAGTGAAAGAAAGAAATAAAAAAAATACCTTTATGTACTATTTTTTTTAAAACCGAACCCCAGTGCCACTGTCTGCTCAGAGTGGAATTAGGCTTACACTGAACAGGTTTCTGCCTTTTGTTTGTTTGTTTGCTTGCTTGCTTGAAAATGACCTTCATATCACAGCAATTTACGAAATAAGTCTCCCATAATAGAGAATCTTATAGTTTATTAAGAGGTCCAATGATACATTAGCATCACTTCTTGAAATTAATGGGAACCACTCAGAACTGATGAAAAAATGCATGACAATATGGCAACAAGATTTGGTTTGGCTAGAAGTGTTCAGTGTCTCTGATTTCACTGCCAGGTCACCACCCAGGAAAATGCTATGGTATAAGATGTGGCCTTTAGGAAATTATATGAAAACTTTTCAACATGTACCAGTTTTCATAGGCAATCCTCACAAGGCTGAGAAAATAAAATAAACTTGGTCATTTTTATACTGGAATTAAGATAAGAAACTAAAATACATGGTGTGCATAGGCACTTGATTTGGATCTGGTGCATTTTTAATTTAAACCCATATGTAGTTTTGAATACAGCTTCATTGAAATTCTAGCAGCAAACCTTCACTACAAATTTGCCCTTATTTATTTATTATATTTAGGGATATTCTCATTTTCTTGCTAAAATACAGCAATAACAAAATAATAAGATGATAGGAGATTGATGCTTTGCCTAGCTTCCCAGATTCCCAGATTCCCTCTAAAAACCCAAACCTCTAAAACAAGATATTATTAGAAAACAACTCAGACTTAAAAACTTGGTTAATGGCCTTAGGTATGTCTAATTTGCTTCATAACAGAATTATGCTGTTCCTTTTACGACTTCATTCCTTTGGTTTCCAGCAGAAGCCATTCATTCATTCTAAGCAGAGGGGGTTTTCTTTGATCATCCACTTTTGGATGCCACCACTGATAAGGGAAAATGTCGGTAAAATAAAAAGTATTGGGAAATGATAGTTTCAGCAAAACAAAATAAAAAATAAAAAACAGAAGGAAAACAAAAAGAAAAATTGCTGAAACATTTGCAGCAAGTTTGATCTTTCTGTGAGGCCTTGCAATATAAGGATAAATTGCAGTCAGAGAAGTTGTTCTATTGCTTAGCCCCAGAAAAATCACCGGTTTCTGCTTCCCGGGAGATCTCAATTACTGAGAAAATACCTACTGAGAGAACACAAGTTCCTTGTAAAGGGAGGATTAGCTTGTGTTGCATTTTTCAACAGGTATTACATATGTATCGACAACATTTCTGCTGCTATTTTTATTTAACCTTAAAAGAGAATAGGTAATTAATTGATGGTATATTATTTAAAAATGGGTTTTCTTTTACAGCTCAGCATGGCTTACACCAGTTGATTTCAGGAAGCACAGTAAACCTGATTTGTTGCTTTAAATTAAAAGGTACACAACCTGATTAGAATTATCAGAGCCTTTATTTGCACTACAAATCTTTTCACTTCTACTGTTAAATGCCAAGCCACCCCACACTGGCTCAAGTGAAATTATTATGTTCTTGTTAATTAGTATTTGGGATTATTAAAAGAAAATCCTTACCCAAGAAATTGAGCACCAGAAGGCCCAACCTCGATAAGGCGACTGGCAAGACCATCTCCTTCCACCATCGGAGGCATTGTGGCGAGTCTATGGCGTTTGACCAACCGGCAAGTAACTCGAGTTGGAGCAGTGCATTTCCGAGGTGGAATAATGATTCGAAGCCCGTTGTGTCTGCAACCCCGCATAGCACCACCTCGAGCATCAACCATAAAACTGACCAGAAAACTGAAAATTGGGAAGAAAAATTAGGCATGAAAATAAGTTATAATGCATGTTACAAAAATATTTCAGAAGCAACAAATTTTAAATATGTGTACTAACCATTCTTAATGATCAAAATTAATATGTATATTATGTATTTATGTACTTATGGTTAAGCTATAGTTAGAGTTTTTAATTAATTGCATAGATAAAAAACTCAGAAATATTTTTACTACTTTTAGGGAGTCAAACCAATTAGCATAATACTAACAAAAACTCAGTTGATTAATTTGTACAAGTTGTCCTGGATACTACCCAGAGTGCTGCAGTAACATCCAGCTCTAAATGTATTAGTATGCTAATAAGGTTGATTAGAAAATTGTGGATAATATCAGAATACAACAAAATTATTAACAAAAAAGAAAATATGGAAAATGGGAAGAAGTTTGTAAATATTGTATCCTAGCAAAGACTAAAATTTCTAGGATGTTATAAGATGTTGGCATTCCTATTCATATAAGGCACCTGATGCACAATACTTATTATTTCTCATCTGATGTTTAAATGTAATAAAAATAACACATGAATTTGACAACTAGCAAAATATAATGTAAAATGTATGGCAAAGTAGCTATGTTTATATATTTATCCCTTAAGATAAAACTAATAGGCAATATAAATATTTTGTATGAAAAACAAATACTGAATTTATTTCTTTTAAAGCATCTACAAAGTTTTGAATTTTTCCCAAGTCAATATCACATGCAAAATATAAATAAGCAAATCAATGTGGATGAAGATGAAGAACCATGATCTGCCATCTTGAAACATGCCATGCAACCTAAAGTCTTTCCTGTCCCTCATCTGTGCCTTTACCCCAATGCGTTGATGTTCCTCAATAACAGTAAAAAAACAACAACACATTAGCAGTTACAATACTCCATGTTTACAGCTACAATGTCAATCACACTTTCTAATTTATGGTTATCAAATATACAAGAGTTAGTCTGCCCAAAGGAAAGTGGGGAGTTTGACATCTTACCAAATGCAATTGGGGATCCAGGAAGGACATTTTATTTCAAGGTTTAAAGAGAAATGGACTGTAGACAAACAGTTGGTAGTTTTGTAGTATAAAATTGCACAGAGAACAAGCAACACAAAGTTATGGAGGAATGCATGCAGGGTGGTTTCAACAAGGAAATAATATGTTAGCTAAACTTTAATTTTCTTTTTCTTTTATTGCTTACAGGTTTTGAATTGTGTTTTGGGCTTTGGGGGACTGGGAAGTAAGTCTCATTTTGATTAATGAAACTTAATTCCTAATAAATTTGCCTGCAATTTCCATGTTTATTTTTAAATGTGTATCTCTTATTTTTTCGTAACAAAGTTATATAACTGTATGCGCTAGGCCTGTATCAAAATTGCATATAGTCAAATCCTTGATTTAGTAATTCTTAAACCTTAATTCTTAAAATAAATATGCACTTGTCCCAAATATTTACCACTCTCTTTTATACTCCACTGATCCCTCAGAAAATAAAACTATGTTCAAAGATTCCAAAATTCTGTTAAATCTTAAAATCTCCCAAGATTCCCTCCCAAGATATTGCAGAATATTTTATAATATCCAAAGTCTGTAAAAGACTAGCCATAAAAAAATCAACTGAATATCCATTGGAAGAAGACTCTGTGTCTGTCCCTGTGTTTTGTTTTTTAGCAGAACGTTTTCTTGCCATGAGACAAAAAGGCTTTTTTCATGCTATACAAATATATTATTAAAATCCTAAAACAATAAATCAGCAGGATGCTTCAGAATCAAAGGGAAAACATACACCCCCCCCATTTATGTAGCAAGTATTCAAACATCCTTAAACACTATATTCTTAGATCAAGAGAAATGCTTAAATTTCACATTTCTGGCTCATAGATATAAGAGGCAATTTCCTTGGATGTACATCTTTTCATTTGTCTTCTTAATTCATTTAAGTTGCTCATATTAAAGGAAGCAATGATAAAACTATTCTAAGCCGAATAATTCTGATAAAAACATACACTTTACATAAATGGCACACTTTTGGATAAAGCAGAAAAGATGTATCACATTATATACCCCAAAGTGTACAATTAAACATTTAATTTAAATTATGATACTACATTTTCCCCACAAAATAACTTTCTGGGAGGACTATCAGAAGGAAGAATAAAACTCTGCATAGTTCAGCTTAGAAAAGATATTTGAAAAGAACGGGACATATGGAAAATATTTTTAAAAAGATTTATATTAATAAAGATAAACTAGGCACTTTAGATGTCTAAATATGATTTTCATGAGAAGGTAACCATAGCCATTTAACCGTGGATGTGTATTTTTACTGGGGGAGATGGGAATAAAACACTTTATGCATAATGAGCTCAGGTACAATAATTAGTCAGACAAATAGACATGCTCATCACCATAAAGATGGAAAGGACAATCCTTTTTGGAATATTTCCACAATATCAAAATTGTATTATATTGACTATGTCAGGCAGGGAAAAAAAGGAAGGAGCAGCAACCAGTTAGTCAAGAGTGTGAAATAAAGAGAGTTTGAGTAATGGCTTCAGCATTTCTCAATAATAATTATAATACTATCAAACAGGATATTCTACATTTAAAGACATATCATATGAAAAGATCACTAAAGTGCCCAATTAAAACCTAATGAGAGCAGTTTAAAAAATTGAATATAATTCAAATTATTTATTAATAGTAAAGCTGGATTTCCAGCTTATAAAATATGTGTTCTTACATATGGTCTTATTAACCTTATTAGATATGGGCATATGCATTTTAGAGCTTTTGGAAAAGCTAAAGAAGGGCTGATAGTATGTAATCCACACACTTGAAAACCACTTCTTTTTATTGATTGAATATTTAACTGAAAGTCTAATTTTGTTCCTTTAGAAATGTTTCAGAACAAATATATTTTAGAAACAAAGTCAATTACTTTAAATCGCCAAATTCCAGTAGCCACAATTCTTGTGCAGTCGAGACGTAACAACTGAAAAGTGTGTATTTTGATCCTTTGGAAGGCTTCCTACATGAATATTAGCCAATAATTGCATTGCAATTCTATGAAACAAAATCTTAGATCAAATGGCAAATATAAGAGGATCAATCTCCTACACTAAATAATGAATGAGATCAAGGAAGTAGTAGAGCATCTTAAAGTGAATAAATTAAATGGATGGTAGAAGAAAGAAGGGAAAAGGAAGTTAGCATTAACATGAAATTATATAGTTCACCTGCTGTTTTCATGGTCAAAATATGGAGAGGAGTGGCTGCAACAGAAGAGATAATTTAGCAAAATAAAACAAAAAAATGAATGAATGAATGAATGAACAAATGAAATAAAATCAGTCAGAAAAGGTATCTATCTACAAATGGAGAAGATGAAAACATTAAACATACAGTATGAAGGGCATATGCAGTAGCTAAGATGGAAGATACATTCCTTGTAACCTCTTTTAAATGGCAGCCTTGCCCCGAAAATCATTTAAAAGCACTTGCATGTGTGAAACATTTCCTATGTATGTTCTAGGAAGTCAACAGATGTCAAGAGTCTACTTGCTAGCCATAGAGGTAATCCTTGACTTACAAAAGTTCATTTAGTGACCGTTCAAAGTTACAACAGCCCTGAAAAAAGTGCCTTATGACCATTTTTCACATTTACAATGGTAGCACCATCTCCGTGGTCACGTCATCAAAATTCAGATTCCTGGCCATTGACTCATACTTATGACAGTTGCAGTGTCCCGGGATCATGTGATCCCCTTTTGCAATCTTCTGACGAGCAAAGTCAATGGGGAGGCCAGATTCATTTAATAACCGTGTTACTAACTTAACGTCTGCAGTGATTCACTTAACAACAGTGGCAAGCAAGGTTGTAAAATGCCTCACTTAGCAACAGAAATTTTGGGCTCAATTGTCATAAGTCCAGGATTACCTGTATTTATTGTGGGCATATTTCAGTCCATTTTGCTGGCATGCATGCATGCACGTATTTATGTAGGTATATATATAGTTACAGATATTTTATGATATCACCATTATAAAGCTGAACAATAATCATTTGTGTCCATATGATAATTCAACAATGTTTTAATTAAGCATGATGTGTCTTGCTAAATTGTTCTGTATTTTTATAAAAAACAAATTATGAAAAAAGAACAAAGCACAACTTTGCAGCAACAAATTGCAAAGACCTTAACACTGGCTGCATAGATAACTTATAACACAATTCTGTGTCTGCTAAAAAGTTCAATTAAGTTCAATTAATCAATCAATCAATCAATCAATTAAGTTCAATTAAAGCTACCATTAGGTAACTATATGTGCTTGTATCTTCTTGACTTAGTGGATATTAGTGAAAGTAGATTTAGAAAAATTACCTTCAATCTTATATCCCTTTTTAAATATTAATTTCCTCCCCCCAAAAATCTGCTCACTAGTATTATTTAGTTTCACATATCAGTTGCTTTTCAGGTTATGATAATCTGAAAATATTTTGCATTTAGTTTTCCAAGTGTTTTTTTCTCCATAAATTTTTAGCTCAAATGCTGTCATTTTCATTCTAGTTTATTGCTACGTATGATTGTCCTCTTTTGTAGAAAAGAGGAACAAAATTTTCATTTCTTTCTTCCATGGTGCTGATCTAAAATTAATAAATATGTCATATATACTTTGTTCACTTATGTGACAAGACTAACTTTAAAAAAAATTCAGAAACTTTATAAATATGTTACCATTTTGTAAATTTATTTGATTTAGTATTTTTACAAAGTTTGCTTTCTAGCTGGTAGGTCCTGTTTCTTATCAATCTTTGTGAAGATACTATATTAGGTGAAAGCAAGAAATATAATTTACCTTGTTAGCAATGATCCAATATCCTTTTTGGAAGACAGGCAGCTAAGAATAACAACTCTAATTATTTGTCAATTTTAAGTACTGGTCCCTCCATATACCTCCCACCAAAAAAGAAAGGAAGGAAGGAAGGAAGGAAGGAAGGAAGGAAGGAAGGAAGGAAGGAAGGAAGAAACAACTAATCAAAATTAGAAAATTCTCTAAGAAAGTAATTTGTAGGCTAATTTTTCTACAACTAAATATATTCATAAAAAGTATACACTATATGAAATGCACTATTATAATAACTGCTATAAGTCTGTATGTATATGTTGCCTATTTGTTACGAAACAATGAATTAGGATCTCTCAGCTCAGAAACCTCTTGCAAGAAAGAACTGACCAGGAATATTTATATAATAGAGGCTGTGCATATATTTTCATGTATATGGACAGATTGTATGGACAAAGCCAATGCATAAACAACTTGTTATAAACTATACACTACAATTCCAAAAAATGGAACACAATGCTGTAGAAGCCACTCCAGTCTATCTATAATATACTAATTGTATACATTTTAATGATGAACTTTAATATATGTGAATATAAGATTTCTTTGATTCCGTATTTTTTCTAAATATAAAGTATACTATATGAATGCTTAGATTATTATAAAATTATAGAAAATGTTCTTCTCTCATAGAAGTAGCTAACTTAAGACAGCATTGGATTTTTAATTGAATTTATATCCATATTTCCTATTCCATATCATTTAAAATATTTTCTATACATCTTTTCCATTATGTTAACAGTAAATATGCATAGAAAAGACTTGCTAGTAGAAAGGCTGGCTACTGCCATGCAGTTCTAAGAGAAAACTTGCAGCTGTTAGCCAAGAAACTGTTCACATTCAGTATAATATGTCAGTAATGCTTTTGCCCCTAAGCTTTGCTGTCAGCCATTTCAAAGCAGGCATTTGTCTAAACTGATTATATGACACATATATGCAGCTTTTAGCAAAATGTGCAAGACATCAACCTGGAATTGGTAACCCAAGCAATGTGAATGATTCCCCCCCGCTCCAAGTTTTCTTACAAGTTTGTTTAAAAGGCCATGGGAATATTCGCTTATTACAATCCCCCATCTCCAATATTAGGGGGAAATTATCATTAAATTAAATGTTTTATCATACACTATCATGAAAATGTTTTTTTCTAATTTTAGAAAAACTTTAGCTTCAAATATATCTTTTAACTTTTTTTGTGTTTAAATCTCATTCCAAAAGTTGGCATAGTGATATTTATACTAAAACCAAAAAGAACGGATTTCATTTTTATTTTATTAGAGAGCAGTTTCATCTCCACACAGATATAGATTATAAAGTTACTTTATCAGCTGAAGTGAAAAAAAAGTTGGTTTCAAGAACTTTTAATAATGCTGAATTAGAACCATATATTTTTAACCTTATTCTTTTTGTTCCCATTCACCTTGCTTCACCTTATCATGAGACCTGCCCAGGTCTACACAATGCTACTATGCACAATAGGGGTCCTATAGATGAAGTTAATTGGTATAAATTTCCTGTCAAATAATAGCTTATATCGGAAACGTTGATCACATGTAGGATACTTCTAGATAGTCAGAGGATGGAACCTGTGCCATACAAGTCCACTGAGTTTAGTTCACTGGGGCTTTTTTTGCATGAAGATGTCTTAAAGCAGGGGTTTCCAACCTTTCCAGCTTTGCGGCTGGAGAGTTGCGTAGAGGGAATGGTTCCGTGGAAACACCGGGCCTGCACGCTCATGCGTGCAGCTCCATTTGAGCAAGAGGTGGGTTAGCATGCCCCCTGCTCACACAAATGGCACTTCATGTGTGACGACAAGTGCCTGCTGCTTGTGCAAATGGATCTTTCCATATGACTACAAGCAGCCACCACTTGCACAAATGGAGCTGCATGGGTTTGCACACCACTTGCACAGCCCAGTTCCAAACAGGCTGAAGCAAGTGCCAGATAGCAGCCTGGGGTTTGAGAACACCTGTCTTAAAAGAATTTTCTCTTGGTACTTTCTGTATTGAAATTTAAATTTAAAAATTGATCTGATCAAACCTGGTAGAATAATTAATACTACATCCACAAGTATTACAGCAAAAGGGCCAGAAACTAGATACCATTTATTAGCTAGCATAAAACTGTACCATTCCTATAGACAATTTAACTCCAAATATTTTTATTATCTAATATTCTATAAGTTGTGAAATAAAAACCTGCCACAATAAAGATACCATGTAATTTCAGAAATTAATAAAAATAGAAGTTTGATGTCTGCCTTATTGTATGTTCAAATTATTGATTTAAATCAATTTCAAATAGGTTTAAATGGGATGACCAAAAGAAATAATGTTTTGTAACCATAAAGTCATTATGATAATCAAGAAAGGCTTTTCAACATTTTTAAGGAAGATATCATGACAAATATGATTGAAATTCAAAGTATGGTTGAAGATTAAGATTATTATTTTTCATTAATGAAATAAATTAATAAAAAATACATCCAAAGAAAAAAATAGTATAGATTACTTACCCAGAATGAATAGGGCTAGCAGAAAGAGTTATGTTGTCCAGATTATCAGGACTCCAACTTAAACGATATGAATTTCTTTCACCTTCTTTAGTTAATGCAGCTATCTGGAAGAGCAGAGAAATATGTTTTCTTTTTTTTCCTTTGCAATGTCTCTAATGAACCCATTAAAATGTTCCTACATTTGAATAAAATATAGATTATTTTAAATTAATTTTACAATGAGATGGGGTACTAGGAAAAAAATTAATTGTATTGAGTGATTACAATTATCTTAGAGTTGTAACACAATACCCTTCATGACTACTTAGAAGGAACCAAATGCATCTTATTCCTAGATAAATGTATACAAGACTCAAGCCTTAAACCTTCAGAAAAGTCCACTTCTAGACTGTATCAATTTTACTGTATCAATTGATACTTTTAGAAGTATCAATTTTAATGTAAATTTTAATATTCTATTATTTCCTATCTAATCTTATTCTAATACTCCTTTTCAAGTCCCTTTCTGCACAAGGATTATTTTATATATAATAATAAATAATAAAATTATTTTGGAGAATATATATATATATATTCTGCAAAATAACCGGGAACATCTTACCTGGTGACTTGGGATAATGATGGTGTCATCGATCATAGTGCTGTCCCTCAAGTACGAAGTATGGCTCAGTGTACGGGACCTGTCTGAACTGAAGGATCGCAGGCTGGTAGATTGGTATTTGGGCAACATTTTCAGCAGTTGTGATGGAGTGGTGTAGATAGGATTATGAGCAAAAGCACAGGGGTGAAAAAAGCATGCTATTAGCAAATAGTGTAACTTCCAGGGGAAATTATTTTAATATACCCTCCATTATTCCTTGGAGTTTGTTATGCTTCTGGGTTTTCTGTTCCAATGCAAATGAACAGAACCACAACATGCTCAATGTTCTGTTTACGAACACATCATGCATGATGTGTGATTAATCAGTCCTACATGTTCTTTTTTTCTCTGATAGAAAAATCCATTATTTGTCTTTCAATACATGAAGAAACGCAGACAGAGTCCCCTGGAAGGTACATAGATAATAGCCAGCCAACTGATGTTACTACAGTGCAAGATTCTTCTTTTATCTGCCAACAGCATTTAAAAGTTTGCAACCACAACCACTGCTTATCTCTCGCACATACAGACAAAACTATAGAAAACCATTTGCTGAAGCAATGAGAGAATGCAAAGCAAAACAAAAGTGACTTACACACAACTAAAGTCTGAGACAAATTTCCTTAGGTTTTGTCAAATTAAACTACAAATATTTTATGGTAATCCCTCTATGATGTCCACATAATCATAGAATATATACGGTATTTCAGATGTTGATTTTGACATTTCTGATGGAGTAATTGCCAGATGATAACTCTCATTTTTCTAATTGCCTGAAATCATTGCAAACTTAAAGTTTAAAATATTGATAAGCATTAAAATATTATCTAACACAATTTACTCCTTCATCATGCTGAACTATACAGATTCTTTAGGCCTACATGCAAAGCCAAATCTCGCATAAATTGTAGAAAATATGTATAATGCTTCTATTTTAATATTTCTTATACTGCATCGGTTGGCCAACTCTGTAGGCAGTCATATGTATGACCATCCTTCTAATTTTGATTAAACAAAACTAGACAGAACTATATTTTAATAAGTGAATTGATTTCAGAGGCAATAGAACACAATTCATGTTCATGGAAGCGAGTTTTGTTTTTTCCTTCCTCATCTCTCACTCCAGCATATTGGACAGCATTTGGGAAACTGTTGCTAACATAAATTTCCCCCTTATGTAATAAAGTCAGCTAAATAAGTTTAGAATGGCAAGTTTGGTAACAATCTGATTAGAGCCAATGCAAAGTGTAATTATTCTCTTGAATTCATAATTTTTTCTCTGAAATATTATTTTGTAACAAAAGGATCTTAAGCAGCAGTAATAGTGTGACTTATTACATCATCATGGCAGAAATCGTAGGGAGAAAATATTATTTTTTTCTGTCCCATGCTATGATCCTAATACAGTTAAAAGAGTCCCCATGACTTTCTGCTGATCTTTAAAATGAAAGATATGAACCATATCTGATCATTGTTTCTAAATGTATAAAACTTTGATGGGCAGTTAAATGGCCTGTAATAATATTTACCCTTTAAATAAGCAAATTCTGGCCCATTTTTATATTTCTCTAAATTCTAGAAGCAGTGACATAAATGGTTGGCAAAGAACTTGATAGCCCAAATCCATTACTTCTCTGATAATGATGTGTTCCAATAAGTAACAAACATCTACACATAAGGACCTTATAAAACTAAAATTATGAGTTTTAGGGGACAACATTTGATTAATTCTAGTGGTAGTAAAACAAAGCCCATAGTATTTGTTTGATACATATTATAATTTGGGGGATGTAATTAAACACATAGGATTCTTAGAATAAAATAGGGATTTTGAACCACAAAGGTAGTAGAAACTTGTGATGAATTTGAAGGGAAAAAAAGAAAGTGCTATCTTCTTTAGATACAAAATTAAGAATGCACTATTGTCATACTTAAGGTAAATTTAATCTAACAGAAAAACCTTCATTCTATTATTTTGTCTGTTTCAAAACTCACTAATATTTTATCAATTTCTTTCTTGTTTACAAACCATGGATTTTCCAGCTTTGAGGCAGCACAAAATAAGAGCATAATTTACTCCTGCACTGAGGCAAGGACTTTTTTTTCTGCAGTCATCAATGTTTTCCCAAAAAACACATTCCTATTCCTCCGTATACAGAGAAAAACATACTTTCTCTTTATTCTATTATTTTCTTAACTATTTTTGATACACTTCATTTAGCTAAGAAAAGTAAAAAATAACTATATTGGAACAGAAAATGGCCAGAAAGAGTAGTACCATAGTATAGTACCCATCACTTCCCCCTGTAAGAAGTAATTTAGCTAGTAATAATAAGCATTCACATTGTGGCATTTTCTAAAGCTGATTTTTAATTAGCGCTTTTCTAGATGTCATTATGGAATGTGATAAAACTTTGGTTGAGCTAATTGCTAACTGTAATCAAAACAGATTTTAGTTGTCCTGTAAACTTCACAAATTCTAAAAAGCTTTTCCTTGGCAAGCTTGCAAATGGAATTGGGAGGGGAAAAGATGGGATGCCATAAGGGAGAACAGAAAGCATTGCTTTCAGGCCTCATAATACCTACCTGGGCATAGTACTATTGAAAGCATAAAAAGGAAGGAAAACAGAAAATAAAAAAATCACTGAACTCTTTTAAAGGTCCTCTGAGATTCTAATGAATAAAATGAAACAGTTCTTGAAATGTGGTTGTGTAGATGGATGGTAAGTATGAAATGTTCCATAGCAGAAACCAAATGGCTTTGAGAACAAACTTTGTTTTCTGTAATGATCCAGTTTTAAAGCAAAGTCATTGGTCACGTAGAGGCTACATATCTACTTACTACTAAAACACTTTGGTCTGTAACCTTCAATTGCATGAAACAATGCATTATAGGGCAACAATTTTTAAATTAATAAACCTCAAATGAGCAACTTGAGCAATTTAAGTCTAAATTCTTAAATTAAGGAATCTACTGACACATAAAGAAGAAACTTGTCTGTTTTTATATTGTGTGATTGCAGAGTTCTGAAATCAACATCCCTATACCACTTTGTTTTAAGAGATCTGTATTTAACTATGTGTTTCTAATGCAAAAGACAAATACATTTCTTGAATTTACAATGCAAGAACTGCATTACACATTGTACTCCTTAGATGTTTCTTTTGTTCTATGGTGGAAAATGCTCTTTTATAACCTAATACCTAAAAAGCAGAGCTCTCAAAAACTTGTAAAAGAACAAATAGAGTTTTCCAATTGTTACAGCTAACATTTTTTCCGGCAGAGTTTATTTTTCTCCTTAATGAAGCATATTTCATTTAAGTAGCTCCTGGATATATTTTTTCCTTGTGCCTTGTAAGAAAAAACAGATCTATTTCATCCCTAATAGTCATCTGCATTTTGAACGGCTGCTCAGAAAAAAGAATACAGATAATTGCAGTAGGAAAACTCCTGTATTGTCCATAAAGTGGTACCTGTCAGAGTGGCCTCCTTCCAGGCTGTATCTCAGGTAGTTCATGCCATCTAAGAACTGAGTACTAGGTAATGAATCATCACCTAGTTCCTTCAAATCTTCAGGTCTTAGATATTCTCCCCCATCTCCTGTCATTGTGTCATCACCTTCATTCAATACACAAATTCCCAAAATTAGTCATCAATATAATTATTTTAGCATTTGAATGAGACACATATAAAACAGACATGGTTACTATCACTCTTGAAGCACAGCAAGCACAAATAGTTAATATATCTTAAGGAAACACTAGCCAGTTTCATTAGATTAAATTAATATAAGCTCTCTAAAAATCACATATAATCATTCATCTTGTGCCAGGGTAAATAGTATTAGTAGGACTAATTTCATGAGTTTTACTTCATTTATTCAACTCAGTGGGATTCTGGAAGAATCTCTAAATATTTTCAATATAAAAAAGTGATGTGTCCAGAGATGGGTTCCAGCTGGCACTACTGCCGGTTCGTTCATGTGCGTGCTTCACATGGTGACACCGATGGTACTGACTGGGGAACTGGTGTGGAGACATGGCAGGCCTGAGTCACTGCCGGTTCCAGCAACCCATGCCACCAAACCACTACAGGTTCGGCTGAACTGCTCCGAACTGGTAGGAACCCACCACTGGATGTGTCTCTATAAATCTATAAATCAAAAATGATATGACAACAATGACTAAAATATGGCATATAGTGTTATAATACCATAATCATTATTGTCATATCATTTTTTGTCTTCCTGGTAGAGCTCTCTTCCTTGGCTCATTCTCTGAAAATCTGTTTTTAAGGAAGACATTGGTTGTCCAGGAAATTGGTTTGGTTTGGTTTATTAGATTTATATGTCGCCCTTTTCCCAAGGACTCAGGGTAGCGTACAACATTAAAAGAAACACATAATACGGAAGTTAAAAAGAATTAAATAGAATATCCCAAACAAACCCAATTAGAATTGACAATAACATTTATAAAAAAAATTCAAATTAAAATTATCAATGATCAATAATTTATTTTGTTTTGTTCAGGCCAGGCTGGCTTGCTGG